CTTTGTTAGTTTTTGTATTACAAAAATTTTAATAAAGTTGTGGCCTGACTGCTGAATTCAAAAAAAAAAAAAAAAAAAAAAACAAAGAAAAATAAACTATTTATCAATAAAAGATAGCAAATATCTTATTTTATAAATCAAATACTTGATAAATTGCCTTCTAATACTTAGTGAATTTAAGAAATAAAAACTAAATCTTTATAAAATAATTACTATATTTTATGCAAAAAAGAATTCTTGAAGACTTTAACTATTAATTTAGGTATTCAGATCTATAAGACTTATAAGAAAAAATTAAAAAAATAGTAATAGAAGGTATTAGTAAGCTCTAGTCAGAAAAAAATAATAGTCTAGTTCTGTTATCAAAAATCAAAGAGATTATTTTTTTAAAAGACAAAAAAAGTTAATATCAAAGAAGAAAAGAGCTTATAGTTAGTTTAGAAGAAAAGAAAATGATAGAAGATATAAGGTTACTAGTATAGGAAAAAAGTGTTATAAGAATCTGATTAGATAGTATTTTTTTTGTAACTCAAAGAAGCTTTACAGAAATTATATAGAATTAGTATTGCAAAAAAGTAATTCTTTAAGAAAAAAAAGAAAGAATTATAGCTAAGTTAAAAAAGAACAAAATGATAGAAAAAAGCTAAAAATAAAAACTCGAGCAGATAAAGAAAAAAAGTAGTTATTAGCAAGGAAGAAAAGAAAGAGAAAAAGGAAAAAAGAGTAAATAATAGCTTTAGTAAAAGATATGGTTAAAAAAAAAATTAAAGAGAGTAGTATAAGTTAGTGAAGTTTTTTTTAAATTAGTTAGACAAATTGTTTAAGCTATTTGGCTAATATAACAGATTATATCTAAATACTTTAGTACTAATTAGATAATGTCAAGTTTAGAAATTAGATAGATTTTTTTAATCAAATATAACTTGATTATAGCTTTAGTTAATAACTTAATAAAGTTTATAATATGACTAGATTAAGTAGTACTACTATTTTTTAACTCTGGTTAGAATTTTTACATTCACCTCTTTTTGGTTTTTCCTATAACTTGAAAAACATAGAATATCTCTCTATATTGATATCAAAATCTTTTTGTAAATTTATTTTGTAAAAAGTAGAGATTTGGCTATTCTTTATAAAAGGATCAATATTTGTATTACCAATCTATTTTGGGAAAAGATCATGTAAACAAAACAGGTAATCTGTTTTGTTTACTAAATAAATAATACATATGATTAAGCTAATTACAGATTGTAACTAATCTAGATTAATAGTGTAAAGAGCAAATTAATTAAAAGATATAGAATATAGTGTTAGTATTTTATATAATTTTTATGAGTAGAGTAGCATTTAGAAAAAATTTATTAGCTTTGCTTATAAATTTTTTCTATTTAAGCCTTTTTCTTTTATTTTTCTTTATATTTGTTTTTTCTTTTCTTTTCTTGTTTTTGAATCTTCCTTAAGTAAGATTAGTCATAACAAGCAGTTATGATATGCTATCAACATGCTTCAGTAAAATATTAGAAGAAAGATATAGTTCTTATACTCTAGTATCAAGAAAATTGTTAAGTATAGCAGATTGTATCTAGGTACTATTTGGTAATCAAGTGAGTTACAACTTGGGATAGTATTAGCTTAGGCTTTAGGATTGTAATGTAGAAACTTTTCAATTACTACAATAAAGTTGTAGTATGATTGCTGAAAGGTTAAAAAAAAAAAAAAAAATAAAGTTTATGATATGACTATCAAAGAAAAAAAAAAAAAGCTATATTTTTATTTACTTATATTTTTTTGTTAGTAATTTTAAATTTTAAAATTAATTTAAAGAAACATATTTTAAATTTTTTTTAAATTAAAAAAAATCTTTTTGTTTATTTTAAATATTTTAATAATAAAAATAAAAATTATATAGTTATGTTTTTTGATTAATTTAAAATATTTTTACTTAAAAAATTTAAATAAATTATTATAATTAAATTTTAAGTATTTTTTTGTTTAAAATATTTAAAATATTCAAAATCTTATCCAAAGGTTGTTTATATACAATATTGCTATATAGTTTATAAATTTTTTTAAAAAAATTATTATTAAAAATCTTTATATATAGTCTTAATTCTTTATATTATCTTCTTTTTAATTATATTATAATACTACTATATTCTATATATAAAAACAATTTACTAATAAACATATAAAAAAATACTTCTATATAAACACAACTTCTTTATAAGCATATTTTTATAAAAGGTCTTATACAACTAACTATGTAATTATAAAAGAAGAAACTATAATTACTAACTATTTGTTTAAATAATATTACAACTATAAAAAAAATATAGAATCATATCTTTATAATCAATTTTAGTATCCGAAAGTGTAATTGTATAAAGGTTAGACTATAATCTTAAATTTTAATTAATCAATTTAGAAATTAAACTACAAAAAAAAATATTTATAAAAAATTTATTAAATTATACTTCCTTTATAATAATTAAAATAATAAAGATTAAAAAACATACATATATATATATATTTACACGACATTTACACGTGTATTAAACTAAATATTTGTAACTTTAAATTGCATGTTTCCTGTTATATAACCTATCGCTATATATATTTTATTATTTTAATTGTATATATATAAATACAGTATAAAATTATTTACAATTTACAATTAGATTAAAATAATATTTTGACCTTTTTAAATTCCGCCTTTTTCCCTCGAAATTTATAATAAACTTTAATAAAAAAAAATTATAATAATTTTTTTAATATCTTTACAAAAAAATCCACTACTTCCAAATTTGGTCATACGTAAGTAATGATTAATAAATTTTTGAATCGCTAACCTAATAATTTGTTGGTTTTTTTTTTCGAAGAATAAAGAATTTTTTCGGCGATACATCAAACAAGTACTTATTTATTCTTAACAATCGAATAGCTGTAGGATTTTTTTTTTTTTTTTACTCGTGAAATTTACAAAAATCATATGTTTTTTTTTTGTTCGAATATATATATGTATAAACAACTACAGTACTAATTGATAAATAAATGCGTAGAAATTCTTGATGAACGATTCATCTTTTCGTAGATTCGTAAATGACGCGGAAGGATCGATCATACGTAATAATAATTTTGTTTGTTTTTTTTTTTTTAAGTAAAAACTTAAATTCCACAAGCATCGTAATTTTCATAATAAGTATATTGATATTGAAATTTTGCTAATAATAATAAATAATAAGTTAGATTAAATTCAAAAATATTAAAAAAAAAAAAACTTGATGAAATAAACAATAGTATACATACAAATTCCTACGATGGTCCAACATAAATAATCATCAACTTCTTCAACAATTGTAGAAGTTGTATCAGATTTTGAACAAGGAATATTTTGCATTGAAACCATTCGAAAAGGTTCTTTAGCAAAATCAACATTTTGCATATGAACAACCCGAGAAGATTGATAGCCTAGAAAAGGTGAAGCACCACTAACAGTACATTGATCTTGTAATTGTGGACTATCCATCGTTATTGGACCAGCAGCACTAAGATAATGAGATTCACGTCCATTCATACGAACACATTGTAATGCAATTTTTTGCATTTGACTGACAGGACCACAAGCACCTTGAGCAATACGACCTTTCTCCACTTTACGAATAATCAAGTGATCCGAAATAAAACCAGTTGTAGGATCGGAGAGAACAACTTCAGAACCATAAGTAATTTGAGTTTTTGAACATACAGAATTAGGAGAAGGAGAACCAGGAGAAGAAATTGGAGAAGATGAACCTTTTGAAGAATTTGTAGGCGAAAAAGAACCAGCCTCATTGATATTATTATTATTATTGTTATTATTTACTACAGTGATTACGAAAGAGGACCAAGTAGAATTCTTTGCACATAATTCACCACTTTCTATGCCCATATATTTAGTTCGAACAGTTTGAGAATTAATACGATTAAAAAGAGAGATATGATCACCAGAAGAAATACAAGAAGAAATATTTCTAGCTTTTGCAGTTTTTTTAGAAGGTTTTGATATGATAGTGACAGGATCAGAATCAAACACAGCGTATGGAATAGAGGAATTCTTATGAAAAATTTTTAATTTTAAAGTGAAATGTTTTGCTTTAGCAGTACCACTAACATGTAAGTATTTAAAAGTACCCTTCATATTTTCATCAAGCATAGCTCTTTGTTCTAATGAACGTTCACCAGTTTCACCACAAACAACAGACATCGAGACTTCAGGTTTTACATGTAAATTTCTACAAGAGTTTGAAGGTTTTTCAAGAGTAACCACAGGAGGAGGACATAAAAATCTTTTTTCACTACCATAAGATTTTTGGGCAACAGAAGCATGATAACAAGTAATAGTCGTAAAATGAAAAGGGATAGAATTAACAGCATCATTTTGACAATGAAGTAATTTTGGAGAAGATTCAGTAGATAAAGAAGGATCATCAACAGAAGGATAAGAAGGATTTTGTAAGATAGGATCACCGATTGACCTACGTATTTTTGTACGAGACTCTCTCAAATAAGAAGCAGTATTTACAAGAGAAGAATCAATTGAATCACATTTTCTTTTGTTTGATATTAAATGAGGAGAGTTATTATTTTGAATAAGAGGAGGAGGTGAACTACGCGTTCGATCAACATCACCTATTGCTTGATTAACGCTTGGAAGAGGGAAAGTATTTAAAAAAATATTTGCAGGAGGAGAAGGTTGTAAACGCGGGAAAGGAATAGAATCAGTAGGAGAAGGTACAGACATTGGAGCCGATGGTAGAATGGATGCTAGAGGAACCGGAGAAGTAGCAGGAGAAGATTTTGTCGGAGAGGAGGAAAGACCCGGGAAAGCTAAAGAGGTGTCCGGAGGAGTAAGAGGTATCGAGGATTTAATCGGTTTATCGGAATCTATCAACGAAGAGATAGACATCGCATCTGGAGTAAGTAAATTTTTCGAGATTGGAGGAGGTAGTAATCTATGAATTTGTTGTTCGCCAAATTTAATACGTTCTTCTTGGTTGTATGTGCGTTGGTCCGGAATTTCATCATGTGATACAGTTATATTTATTCCTTGTTTTGACATCTGGAATTTCCGAGACGATAAATTGACAGGAGATGCTTCGATAGCATTCAAGAGTGTTTCCAAATTATTACTACCAATATATTGATGATATCTGTGGTCTAATGGTTGTTCGCCATAAATTTGAGGTTGTTGAGTGGTCATCGAGGAAAAACAAAATTTTGAATTTTGAAATTTTGGAGAGCTCAAAGAGGAATTCGTTTGTGCAGGGAATACAGAAGATGAAGTATCATTCATTTACGAAAACAATAATGAAGTAGTAGTAGTAAATAGTAGTAATACTGTAGTAAATAGTAGTAGTAATAGTAGAAGAAAAAATTATTACTATTATTTTTATTATTATTTATTATATATATATATAATTTTTTTTTTTTACAGTGATGTATTTATATGTTTATGACGATATTACGTTTTCAAGTGTGAATTGAAAAGGAACCAAGCGCGTGTGAAAAAAAGAAAATTAATTGCACGGGGGGGTGGAAATATAGTGAATTTATATAAATAAAATGTGGAGTATCAGGGTTTTTTTATCAGCAAATGATCTCTGTTTTTTTTTTTTTTTTTTTTTTTTTTTGTAGGTCAAAAATCATTTATTACATTCATTATTCATTACTATTACCAGTTTATAGGCTGTGCACAACATATTTATTTTATCGTGATCTATCGCTATAAATACCGATAAGACTTTATCAGCTGTATGCTACAAACAGATTAACAGATATCGTCTATTTCTCTTTGAATACAATACAAGCGCAAGTAGAGTGGGCGTAGACTGTACGATTCTGAAAGTATTCTGAAACTATACAAAGACAGATTTGCGAAAATTAGAGATGAATATCATGCATCTTGAAAGGTCTCCTATCTAAGCAGTAAGCAGTATCTCGCTTATTCTGTTCGTGTAACAATATTTATTTAGGTGACTAATATAACATATTTTGTTCAAGAAAGAGATAACAAAACAGTAACGAACGAGACATATTGCGTGGGAGAGTTTAACGGCCAGCATGTGTTTGAAGATTTCATAAGGACTGTTGTAAGACCTAGAATATGATTAAAGATAAAAGAGATAATCTTGTTTCTCCTATGATCTTATCTTTAGAGAAATTGAGATTGTCTTATCAGGTATTATGCAACCAAATCAATATTATTCCCGCATTTCACCGACTTTTTTTCCCACAATATGTCACTCAGTCTCTGTGTAACGTTGCTTATTCGGATTGACACTTTTATATTCTAATTATCGTAGGTCATGATAACAGAGTTCGTCATTTTGATCCTTCACGTTTATGATCATGTGATGCTTTATGTATGTTTACATTATATATTAGGACATTCCTGAATTGTACAAGTTTCACTATCGCGTGATGATTAGACAGAAACTTAACTTAAATTGTTGTGAATTACTATAAATTCATATACCGATACTATGTACGTAATGAAAATACAAATCGAAATTCGTTACCTACTTACCGGTAAATTACTTTCTAAAACTCTCAAGTTTGGTCTGCAATGAATTTAGTAGTGCTGCGAATTGTCGTATCTTACTCATGACAATGTAAAAAAATTACGGCAAACTGGTTTTTAATATGAAGAGCCGTAACTAGTAACGTAATTACGCCTGCACTACCTACTATGCTATTATATTTATCATTGATAGATAATTCTGTAAACTGTTTACTTTTATCTTACATAATTATTTATCTGTGTTACGCAGATCAGATGATTAAATTTTGAGTGATCTACATCCGGTAACGGTAAATTATAACGGTATTCGCTAGCAGTTAGATAATGTGTAACGATTTTACAAAAAAAGTATTCTATTGATTTTTTGAGCTATATAATAAATCTAAGAATAATCTTGTTTTCAAAGATAACTGTTTATTTTATAATTTATAGTGTTTAGTATATATTAATAATAACAAATAATACGTGAAATTTTTTTTTAAACTTAATAGATAATTTTTTTTAAGATTTTATTAACAAATAATAAGTTATTAATAAGCTTTTATCTTTATATACTATATATAGATTAAAAGATTTAGTAGTTAAGATTATTTATAAAACTAGAATATTTTATAAAATAAGTAAATTATTAAGGTTTAGTGATTTTAGTATAGTAGTTAGATTATTAGATTATTATATAATAGATTTAGAATTTAAATTCTACTGTTGATGAATTTGAATAATTTTTCAAATCTTGTGATATATTATGATAAATTCTGTCTATTTCTAAGAATATATTTCTGAAATTAAGTTATACTAAATCAATTTGAAATTGGAAGTATAATATAATATTATATAAAAAAATTATAATAAGATATATAAATAGAGAATTTGTATAGTAAAAATTCTGAGTTGATAAAGTAATATATCTTTTTATAGAATTATATTAGTTAAAGTCTAATTTAAAAAGAAAACTTAGTCTAATAAAAATAAAAGTTTTAAGATTACTAAATAAAAGAATAAGATAACCAGTTAGATATTAGAAAATAATTAGATTGATTAATTAGTAGAAGACTATAGTAGAATCTAAAGTTATATGAATATTATAAAGATTTAAACTAAATAAATTTATAAAATAGATATATAACTATTCTAGTAGAAATTGCTTATAAGGCTAACTAGAACTCTGTATACTCATAATATTTTTTTTTTTTTTAACAGTTACATCATAAACTTTATTAAATTGTTAACTATAGCTATAGCTAAGTTATATATAATTATACAATCTATTTAATTTCTTAAGCTTGACATTACTTAGATACTACTAGAGTATTTAGATACAACTTGTTATACTAGCTATATAGCTAGAACAATTTTGTTTAACTATATCAAAGAAAACTCTACTAACTTTCTTCTTTTTCTTTTATTTTTTTCTTAACTACTTCTTCTATTAATACTACTATTCAATCTTTTTTCTTCTCTCTTTTCTTTTTTTTCTCTGCAAGTAAGACTTTCTTTTTTTTATCTATTTAAGTTCTTATTTTTAATTCTTTTTTTCTTGCTATACTTTTTTTAAGCTTTATTGTAATTCCTTTTTGCTTTTCCTATAAGATCACTTTCTTATATTACTAGTTTTATATTATTTTTATAAAGCTTTTTTAAAAATAAAAAAGATACTATTTAACTAAGTTTTTATTATATCTTTTTTTTAAGCTAATACCTAAAGATCATTAGCTATTTTCTTTTTTTTAAGTTTAATTAATAGCTCCTTTCTTCTTTGATATCTGCTCTCTTTATTTTTTAGAAAAATAGCTTCTTTAATTTCTAATAACAGGAGTAGTTCATTTATCAGGCACACTCTTCCCGTAGATCATTTTGCCAAATTTTGTGCTAAAGCAAAAACATATATATCTAAAAAACTACAATAAGAAACAACATAA